CTCCCAGGAGTCTACTGGTAGGCAGCTTCCTGCGAGGGTTGGAGGAAGCCGACTACAAATGACTGTGGGTTATGTGTTTCTAGGCACCCAATGCAGTCATTTTCAAGGGCAACAGCTATCTCCAGCGTGACTCTTTCCTCTGCCTCTTCATTCCAGTCTTATCAATCATTCATTGACTTCCCCGCACGGGAGCTCTGCGTTCACTGAGATTGGATGAAATTACACCATTATAACAGGCCCCCACGCCGTCCAGATTTTTCTACAAAGTGTGAGAGAAGCCAGGAGCCTTCCCCACTTCCTTTAAGCGCAGTAGATATGTCTCATACTATGACGTTAAGTGACACCAGGCAGAGCTTCAGAAACTTCTTATCTCTTGGACAGGTGCCCGAGAAAACAGTCCACAGACACAGACCTCCAAACCCTTGCACTGAATCAGATCTCAGAGACTGCCTCCAATGAGGAAACTGAGGCCCACGGACAGCCAAGGTTCGCAGTAGCTGCCAGCGGACTGATGCAGGGCTACCCTGCTCCTAAGTACCCCAGCCTCCACAGAAAATATGAGCTGCACCAGCTCCGTGCCAGTGAACCACACGAAGATGACGGTGACACATAACTGCAACCACCCACAGCGCCGTTCCACGCTGGCACACGGTGAAGCTGCCACGAAACTACAGGAGTCCCTGGCTTCATTAGATTTCAATAACCTACAAAAAGGGACTGTGCGATTTAAAAACCCGAATTATAATTCAAGACTTCTGGCAGACTCTGGTTCCCTCGTCAGCCAAATCCGACCTAGGCCCAGTAGACTAAGGTAGCGAGGACATGTCCTCTTCAGGCTGGAGCCTCTGCTAAGCATGTGGACCAAGGAGGAAAACAACAGATCCTGAGATGGCCAGGCCTGGTTTTACAGTGGTACAGCCTGCCAGCCTGTGTCTGTGTCTCATCGAGCTAGGGGTTACCCTGGACGATTTCCAGGGAGCCTTCTGGCTCTCTGTTCCGTATGAATCACCTTTCCAAACTAGTTCCTTGTGTATACGTTACAGAAACCCTGGCAACCAGGGTTCCTGCAGGGGAAGCAGGCTGCCGCCCACCCCTGGGTCCATGTCTGAACTTGGCAGCCAAGGTATGCCCCAAAGGATGACGTGACTGCTCCAACTCAGAGTGGACGCCCACCCCCTCACCTCCCCCACACACCCAGTCCATCTGGAGTCAGGGATACTGGCAAGGATGACTCGGAGGACAAAGTGGGTGGACCAGGTGGTCTTCTTGACCTCGGGGGCCCAGGTGTGGCTTGGCACGGGGGCTTTCTTGTCCCCCCCCCCACCGCAGGGAGTCGGTGGTCCTTCCCTAGGACCAGACTTCACTCTCAGGACTCATAACAGGAAGCGAGCTTCTCAAGGGACCCTCTGTGTCCTAGGGACAGTTTGCAGTGACCCCCGCCCTCTTGGACATCACCAGTGGAGGGGGTGTGGTGGATAAAGAAAATCATTTAAAGAAACGCAGTCTGGTGTGATGCTCGCTCAAAGGCTCTGCGCCCTCAGACAAGACGCCTAACTAATCTTCCCGACCTCTTAAGCCTAGACCTGCGAAATGGGGGCAGCCGTGTGCGCCTGCACGAGGGCAGCGCACGGTCCTGTCCGCATCATGCCGAGTTGCACCCATTCTCACGGTTGGCTACTTCTGGCGCAGGACCCCAGCTCCAGCTGTCCGAGCCGCCGGTTACGTAAGCCGCCCGCGGCTGTCCCGGTTCGCGCCACCGCCCGGCGCCGCGCCACTCACCGCTCCACCGTGTCCGCCCGCGCCTCGGTCCTTCTCTCGGCCCGTCGCTCGGTGCGCCCGGCCTGCGCCGCAGCCGCCCGAAGCCGCAGGTCCCTGTCGCGCTGCCGCCGCCGCCGCCCGGTCGCCCTCCGCTGTCACATAGTGGAAAACGTGACCGCGCGCGCTGCGCCCGCCCCTGCGCGCGCCATTGGTCGCGGCGCCGCCTCATCTGCATACTGGCGGGGCGGAACCTGAGAGTGTCGCGCGTCAATTGGTTGAGACGCCCGTCGCTCTTTTTACATAAGACGCACATGGAACTCCATGTTCGCCGCCTCGGTTCCTCAATGAAGACGACGCGCGCTCGTGTGCCCCCCCGCGTCCTGGCGAGTGGGCTCGTCCACTTCCGGCCTGCGGGCCTTCCATTCACCTGGCTCGGCGGCTGCCGTCTTGTACCGCGCGGAGTGGCACGTACCACTGCAGCGCGGGGGGGTACTGATGCCTGGCCGCTACGCAGTTCGGCCCCTGCCGAGTCCTGGGGCCGCGGGCCTACCACCTGCGGCGACACGACCGCCGGGCGCCCGGCACAACCGAGAAAGTTCTCTGCTGACACCCTTGGCTCACCCAGCCCAGTTCATTCATTTCTTTTCTCATTCATTCATGGCTAGGCGCCCGAAGACAGACAGGGCGGCCCCTCCAGATCTGCTGTTACACACCCACCCAGGACATCCTATACTCCAGGCTGATGGTCATCCCAGATGGACCAGAGCACACTGCTTCCACATAACCTTTCTTGTTTTGGAAACCGTGTGTGGCAAGTGTGGATTCAGGAAATAAGGTCATGATTACTGTGCAGAGATACAAAATAAAGAAGTGATTCTTCCCTGCCCTCAATCACATAGACAGAAAAGACTGGCGTTCTAAAGAGGAAGTTTATCAAATGGGATGCTGTAGTTAATTGACCTTACAAATAAACTCTACGGAGGCAGGGCACTTGAGGACGGCTAAATGGGGTACACATCTGGAAAATCAGAACTTTTCCAAGATGGAAGCTGCGGACTCTCGCTAGTCAGGGATGGGACAGCCCTGCCCTTGTGGCACCTTGGCTGACGCTATTTGTTCTTTCAAGCCCAGTATCTGGAAGCATATTAAGCATTCAGGCTTCTGTCCAAAGGGTCAAAGGAGGGAGTAGAACTTCCGTTGGGGCTGGTTTAAGGCCCAAGACTTATCTGCATGGCATAGAACATCTTACAGGCTCTGAAAGTGCAAGGCATGGTGGGGGAGATGAAGCTGTCTTTGACGAGTGAAAGGGTCACTTGGCACTGCCCAGGAGCAGCATATGCTGCTCTGCATCTTCCCCTGGGGTCTCCTAGGAACCAGGGATAAAAAACAAAGCAAACATTATAAACATAAGCCCGTGAACAAGCTGAGATGCCGGTCTACACAGCCAGCTAACCCACATTCAAGAATTCCTGTGTGTGAGCCACTTCTTTCTCTGCCTGGCAGGACAGGCACACAATTCCTCAGATGCAGACGGGGCAGAAGCTAAGTTCACCTCAGCAGCTCTTCCCAAGGGAGCCCTGGGAAGCCAGATGTTGACTCACACTGCGGGGGGCAGGGCAGCACCTCTAGTTCCCCTGACACTGACACCTCACCACACTCCCCAACACACAAACAGAGCAGAGCTGGGCCAAGCTGCACCCTGCACACACCCAAAGAGCCTTTTGTTTTCTCATGGACATTGACGTCAATGGAGGCTGCATTGTTCTGGAAACAAGAGTACACAGCTCATCCACCTGGCAGAGTCTTCTTCGTGCTCAGCTCTTTCATGTCTTGCTCCATATTCGCCTTAATATCACAGTTCCTCCTAAATTTAGCATTTTTATTTCCACCATTAAATATTCTAGAGCAACATAGGAACCCGTTCTTTTGGAAATTCAATGCTGTGGGACTCTGGAACTCTTTGGGATCTAATTTGTCTTCGGCGTCTCGCTTGATTGGATTCTACTTTCTTGTCACTGGAAACTTTCATTCCCTCCACAAATATTGGCTAACACCTGAATTTGGAGAGAAATGGAACAATGCACCCCCTTAGTCTTTTTGTTGTTGTTGTTAAGACCATGTCTTGCCCTGTATCCCAGGCTGGCCTGAGTTATAGATTGTTGTGAGCTGCCAGATGGGTGCTTGGAAGTTGGGTCCTCTGTAAGAGCAACAAGTGCTCTTAACTGCTAAGCAACCTCATCAGCCATGAAGACAGTTTTAACAGAAGCCCCTCCTCTGCTGAAAGGGCCATGTGCTACAGTACCATGCAAGAAAAGATTAGAGCATCAACCTTCCTGGCTATGAGGACATTAAAAGAAAAACTGAGGTGAGAGCTGTGTCCTCTGGTGAGGGACAAGTAACCATGACAATTGACAGCCTTCTGGCTCTCAGGGTTTGTGCTGTAGCTCAAGCCTGTGCCTTGAAAATTGAGTTGTGGGTCAAGGTTTTCTGATCTCTGGAGGTTTGAGACTCTTTCCAGGATGTGGGGGCCACTCATATCCCTCACAGTTTTGAAGGAGCCCACAGAGAGGCAGCCTGTCAACAAGAGAACTGTGTCCAGGGTGATATACTACCTATGAGGTACTCCCCAAGTCTGAAGTGCTCCCCATGTCTAAGATAATACCCAGTGTCCATGGCAATGTTTTGTATCGCTTACTTTTAACTTCTTAAAATTTTTATTTATTTTGTGTGTGGGGCTATTTTGATCACATGTATATCTATACACCATGTATGTGCTTGGTGTCTTCAGGAGTTCTACAATCTCCAAAAATGGCACCAACAACCAAGGTCTAAGTACTCAAACACCCAAACCAGCGGGAGACATTTCACTTTTCAGCTGTAAAATGCCCCATGCCTGAGATGATGATCCCTGTAACTGGGATGGTTTCCACATCCAAGGTGATTCCCCCACACTCAAGGTGAAGCCCTGCTATGATGTGGAATCAAATGCCCATATGTTAGAGTAGGTCACCAAGGTGGTATTGTTGGGAAGTGGTGACACCTTGAAGGGGTGGGGACTAGTGGGAGGTTTAGGTCATTGGAGAAATGCCCTTAAAGGGGCTGCGGAATTCCTGCCTCTTAATCTCCATTTATCAGTCATGAAGTCAGCCGTTTCCCACACGCTGTTGCAATGATGACTCTTCCCTCGCAATGAGCCCAAAAGACAATGGCAATAATGAATTATGAACTGAAATCTTTAAAACTATGAGCCAAAATTAACTTTTTATAAACTGATTATCTCATGTATTTGTTACAGTGGTGAAGCTAGCATACATTGGGTGTCCAAAGCATATCTGAGGTGATCTTGCATGTGTGAGGTAATAATATCTGAGGTGATCCTCCAAGTGAAATGTGAGCCTCCATATCTGAGGTGATAATCTATGTTTGAGGTAATCCTCAATGTGTATGGTAAGCCTCCATATCTGAGGTGATCCTCCATGTCCAAAGGGTTCCTCCGTGTCTGAGGTGATCTCATCGTTTGCTCCTACCTCATGTTCACTGTGATCCCCATGCACAAGGATCTTCTTCCTTCATAAGGAGAAAGGCTCTCATTAGTCAAGGACTGATTTCTCTGTTCTTCTGAGCGGACCCTGCAGTAGTCCCTCTTTCTCATCTTCCTCTGCTTGTGTGTCCCCAAGAAAGTCACCTCAGTCTCCTTCTTCCAACATTGTCAGTGGCACTGAGCAACAGCCTCTCTGTTTCCCTCCCCTCCTTCTAATATGGATGTCCTGGAGTAGCATCAGGAACTGAAGCCTTTCGTGTCCTGAGGAAAATCAAAGCTAGTCACCAACAGAGTCCTTGATCCTGGATGATACAAAGAAGAACACAGGAGGTTGAGGCTGGAGATAGGTGTGGCCGTTGGGGCCCCACCGTGGCTTCACTAGCTGTGGCTACCCAATGCTCTCAGCAGTTACACTTGGCACTAGCACACCTTCTCTTATATAATCCTCACAGCTGTATAAGGTGTATGCCTGCCCCTACTGCTCCTCTGTATAAGACACCCCAGCTCTCAATGTGATAGGAATCATGCCTTTGATAACCTTTGTCTACAGCATGAGCTCATGGTCACCCTCACCACTCCGCCCTACGGAGCCTGGGAAAGGGAAGGGCACAAGTTATGAATGACCAAAGTCCTAGCTTCAACGGTCTCTCTGCCTCTGGAATATTCTCCCCGGCAGGAAGCTCCGTTGTGATGTGGCTGGCAAAGTGTTCCCTGAATTCTTCTGATTTCCTTCAAAACCTATAAAGGCTGGAGTGAAGGTTGTCCTCATGGGTTACCCCCTGCCACTCATCCCTCTAGCCATGCCAGGCTGGCACTGTGAACCCTGTTTGTTCTCTGCCCGCAAGCCTACCCTTTAGTGAGGTCTGTTCCAAGCCTGCTGAGGACTGTGTGGTTCGTGGGGGGGGGGGTGTTGTCATCTCCTGCTGACATGTTATAGCCTGACACAGAAAAACACCATTGATTGTTCCCGGGCCAAGGTTCATAGGAAATGACAAATGGGCCTGAGTGAGCCACCCTCAAAAGAACCCCAACTGAAACACTAGAGACTAGAAAAGCTTCTGTGAATATCCCCCCCAACCACAATTCCAGTCTGGAATTGAACTGTTTACCATGACCGATCTGTTTTCAGTGATGTGATATCTGAGGCAGGACACTTTATAAAGAGAGGAAGCTTATTTAGCCCACAGACTTGGAGGTCAAAAGTCTAAAATCGGGTGGCCCATGGATTATGAATTTGGTGAGAGCCTGCATTGGATGGCATCGTGGCAAAACCCATCAGAGGAGAGGGAGAAGGGGGGTTCTTCTTCCATGCTTGTTCCTTCTAGCACCCTGACTTCAGAACTAACCATTGTGTTCCATGCACTCAATCCCCAGCAGCCTAGGTTGCCCCCTCTTAGAAGATCGAGCACCTCCCAGTGCCACCGCTCTGAGGACCGAGCTCCCTACACTTGGGACTTCGAGGGACAAATCACACTATAACACACAAAGCACACCTGTCCCTGTGTCTAGTGGGATTGTAATGACCAGGAATCATTAAACTATGCCTTGCCAGTCAAATGTGGCTCAAGGCCAGCTTTGGCATAGTCTGTGAGCCGCAGGGAGAGGGGAGAGGGAAGTCCCAGGATGCTACTGCGACAAAGAAAGCTCGTAAGTGGAAACTGTTTACTGTCTGGCTCTTTTCAGAGAAGGTTTGCTGACTCCTGTGGGGACAACCTAGTGTTTGGTAGCACTACAATCACCAGACTCCGTACCTCCTGGAAGTGGGGCAAAGGGGGAGGAGGCATTCGGCATCAGCTAGATGTGGTGTTTGCTGAGCGGTGGGCAGTGACGATGACCATGTCAGTGGAGAAGGTTGACTTGTGATGTTGGATCTGGACACTGGAAAAGGCAAAGGAATGGGCTTAGGACAATTAATTTCCCATTTAGCACAAATTTTGAAAGCCTTGGAGCCTCTAAGGCAGCTTGGGAAATGTGGGAACACCAGACCTTGAGCAGAGACCCACTTCCCCTTCTGCCTGGGAGTAGGCAGCTGTAAGACAATGTTTACTAAAAACAATACAATGCCCGGGGCAATAAGTTCCTGGAAAAGGCCTGCCCACAGAAACCACCCTGACCTCGACCTTGTCCAAAGACTAACCGCCCCTTCTGCCACGCCCAGATCAGTTTCTGGGGTCAGGGCAGAACCAGCCAGGGGAGAGGAGAGAGCAGACGCCACAATTGGAGGTCCTACTGAGATCGTGAAAGCGAGGTAAGTGGACTGGGTCGTCCCTTTTGCCAGCCAAGGACAGATGGAGGAAAATAGGAAAAGAAACAATGGGAAATACTCTCTGGAAGTTTAAATTGCAGTATCACATAAAAAAGTTGCTTGAAGAACACGGGACTACAACCATGGCAGGCTTTTTAAAATGGATTGAACGAGGGAGCCCATGGTTCATTAGTGGGGAAGGCTTAAATGTCCCAGATTGGGAGGATGTTTGCTATGATATTCAGAGAGCCGGGTGTTGGTGGCATACGCCTTTAATCCCAACACTCGGGAGGCAGAGATAGGAAGGAATGAGGCCATCCTGGTCTATAGAGCAAGTTCCAGGACAGCCTCCAAAAGGATAGAGAGAAACCCAGTCTCAAAAAAAAAAAAAAGAAAAGAAAAGAAAAGAAAAAAAAGAAAAAGAAAAAAAAAAGAAAAAAGAAAAAGAAAAAAAAGAAATAAAAAAAGGGTAAAATAAGAAATAAAATAAAAAATCTCCAGTCTTTCGCCTGATCCACTGAGGTCAGGAAAGTAAAGGGGAACTAAGAGATCTAAAAGGCTAGGCAGTAAGGCTATGTGGATGTGTTAAAAAGGGGTACCAAGCTAGGGGTACCGGATTAAATCTCCAGGCCTTCGCCTGACAAAGGTGAGGAAAGTAAGGGGACCCTGAGAGATTGCCCTCAGATGGGGGGGGTGGATTGGATTAAATCTCCAGGCCTTCGCCTGACAAAGGTCAGGAAAGTAAGGGGACCCTGAGAGATTGCCCTCAGTTGGAGGGGGGATTGGATTAAATCTCTAGGCCTTAGCCTGACACTAAGGTTGGGGAAAAAGGGGAACCCAGAGATTGCCCTCAATTGGAGGGTGGATTGTGTAAATCTTAAGGCTTTTTGCATGAGGGAACATCCTGGGTTGAAAGTTGGATTGAAAATGGGTGAATAGCCGGGCGTTGGCGGCACACGCCTTTAATCCCAGTACTCCAGAGACACAAGCAGGCAGATCTCTTGAGTTCAAGGCCAGCCTGGTCTACAAAGCAAGTTCCAAGACAGCCTCCAAATAATACAGAGAAAAAAAATTGGTAACAAGCTGGGCGGTGGTGGCACACGCCTTTAATCCCAGCACTTGGGAGGCAGAGGCAGGCGTATCTCTGTGAGTTCGAGGCCAGGCTGGACTGACAGCCTCAAACAATACAGAGAAACCCTGACTTAAAATGGGTGAAAAAAAATTTGTAACAGTAAAGAGGTACTGGTATTAAGTAAAGAAAAAGAAAAAGACAAAGGTATATAGAATGGAAATTTTTGTTTACATTTAAGTTCTATTTTGTGAATCATCTCTAAAAACTTTTGGCCAAAATCTTGGCCTCTCCACCTTGCATCTACAGAGTTACAAGGAGTAGGTACGGCTGTACCCCATGACTGTAGCTCAAATGGAGGAATGATAAAGAACATACAGGACTTTTTAACCTCTTAGTTCAAGGATTGGCTGGAGTTGTTCTTTTACATAGATTTCAATTAAGGAAGCTTCATTGCAACAGACTAATCATGACCTAGGGAAAAAGGATGACTGAAAAATACATGTATGTTCTGAATATATGGTGTGGCCACACCGGTATGTATGAAATGTGATTGTGAATGCGTGAGTATGAACTGCTTATATGATTAAAAGGATACTTAAATCCCTTCAAAAATAGTTAAGAAGATACCTAGATTGCTTTAAATATAGACAAAAGGAACATCCAGCTTGTCTGTTAATGTTTTAACAGAAAAATTTAAGATGCAAACGAGGCCTTGTCAGCTAGTGAGAGTTCTACAGGTTAGATCGGGAAAGACTGCTCACAGACTTCAAATAATTTTAAAAAGTTATTTGGACACAGTATAGTTTACAATCTTTGAGTGATTTTCAGAAGTTTTTGGGAAATATTTAAAGGATATGTCCTTTTTAATGGGCAAAGTAGTAATCCCAGTTTACCTAGATAGTTAACCAAGGAGGGTAAACAAATCCTTCTACTGTTATGGTCCAGCTTCAACAGTTAAAAAAAATTTTTTTAGAAAATAAAAAAGGGGGAATAATGTCCCCAGTCCCCATATGACTCATCAAATAATACACTCCTCATTTAAAATTTTTATAATGTGAATGCCAGTGAGCTTCAGACAGATTCTGGCATGATGGAACTTGAGCAACCATTGCTCAGGTCAAATGGAGACATCCATGCACTAGACAGTGGAGAAGACCCTAATTTGGGGTCGAGGGCATGTTTGTGTTTTCTTGTAGGAAAAGAATAAAAGCTTTGGCATGGAGCAGAGAAAAACTGGACCTGAGACCATGGGAGCCTACCTAAGCCAGTTTGAGATCTCCTAAATCAGTGTTCCTGACCCTTGCTGTCATCGAATCTAGAGCCCAAGAAAGAAAGAAAACAGTCGGTTCGATATTTCCAGTTTCTCAACAGACCTGCTGCATCAACCTTCCGGACCCATGAGTTTTCATCGTGAAGCCAATAGAGAAAAAAGGACCCATTTAAAATATTTGGACATTGGTATGGACTGTGATGAGGGGCAAAAGCCTCTTTTCAGTAATTGAACAGGACATGGTCACTTGAAATATCAGACTTGATGGTTCCTGTTTCTGGAATCACGACTAGGCCAGTGTATTTTTCTAGAGAGACGCAACTTGTCCTAATGCGACAAAAAGGAGACTTTGACTCAAGTCGCATAATCAGCTGACGTTAGATCAACAAACTGCATCACCACAGGAACAAATTGGTGCTCTGTGGATAGTGCAACAAGCCTATTGTTCATATTTTTCATAATGCTACATGTGTAACATCAATGATTGTACCTAATGTATCTGTGCAAGTGCACTTTCTAAATGCTTTCCTGAGCAGATCTTGGAACAATTGTAACTTTATCAAATTGTAAATGTAAATCACATGCGGGTTACCCTTGTAACAGAATGTAAATCACGTGTGGGTTACCCTTGTAACAGACGAAGACTGGTAGAATGTTATGGCCCAGATCTGGTGATGGGTACGGTGATGGAGAGGTGCTATGTCAATGGGGGTCCTGGGAATGGTGGCAGTGGCGGCAGGCATTCTGGCTTTATGCCGAGCTCAAACGTGACTTGTTCCAGAGGCAAGAGATCCGTAACCAAGTATTGCTTAGCTTAGCCCATGGCAATCCCGATAACCATGAAGGTTGGTTACAGATGATTTAAAGTTGGGGCGCTCTGATGACAGGCAACCTGTGGGGAAGATCCCTCCCGCCTAAGACAGGGGTTCAAGGTCCCCCAAGGACGGGAAAGGGAGGGTGACCCTACTTGACCTAAGCCAGGAGTGCCTCATTTAAAAATAAAAAGGGGTGAATTGTGGGAACACCAGACCTTGAGCAGAGACCCACTTCCCCTTCTGCCTGGGAGTAGGCAGCTGTAAGACAATGTTTACTAAAAACAATACAATGCCCGGGGCAATAAGTTCCTGGAAAAGGCCTGCCCACAGAAACCACCCTGACCTCGACCTTGTCCAAAGACTAACCGCCCCTTCTGCCACGCCCAGATCAGTTTCTGGGGTCAGGGCAGAACCAGCCAGGGGAGAGGAGAGAGCAGAAGCTTCTCTGGTGGGAGCCTTTCTTAGGAAGTTTTCTTGAACCTTTTTGGGGCCTGCTTAAAGTTTTCTTTACATCGTTGAACAAGTCTCTGTGTTGTCAATCCCCAACACCCTCCGCACGTTCTCGGACACAGGCCGCGCAGCAGACGCGACAGGGAAATTTTCAGCTCCCATAGAACTTGCTAGATTATTGAAAATCAGGCCTAGAACCCGATGACAAGAGTCAGAGACCCAAATCCCAGCCCTGACAGGCACCCACTGTTCCTATCAGCCGGTTAGGACATGACCCTGACCCTGTGATACGGATCATTGGGCAGGTGGGCTAAGAATTTAGCCCCTTCAAGTCTCCAGAAGACTCAATCAAGCAGGAGCAATTACTTTCCCAGAGAGCACTGCTCTTGCTGGATCCCTCCCATGGGCAGGTGCCTGTAGAATGGTATTAGGCTTAAGCCCCTAACCTTCCCACACCTCTCAGGTTACAGGCCTCCAGCCAGGGTCAGTTCAGAGCTTGCCAGAGCCTAAGCTCTGCTCTGGCAGGAGCCTGACCACTAGCCAAGACCGGCAGAGCTGGCTGACCTGAGCTGGGAGGCTCTGCAGGCACATGCAGTATAGTGGATCTTCACTGAGCCGCAGGGACGAGGACAGGCCCCGACTGGCATTCAGCTTTCCTCTGTGATGTGGAGTGCAGTGTCTGCGATGTCTGGCAGAGGCACCAGGAACTGATTCTACTATCCAACGAGCCATAGTAAATGTTTAACATTTGGCTCCTTAAGGGGAGGGGGGGAGGAAATGAAAGAAAGTCAAAGATTTCTAGGTCTGATTTTCAATAATCTAGCAAGTTCTACGGGAGCTGAAAATTTTCCAAGCTGCCTTAGAGGCTCCAAGGCTTTCAAAATTTGTGTTAAATGGGAAATTAATTGTCCTAAGCCCATGTACCCACTTCTATAGTTAAAAGAAAATTAGTTCTACTGTGGCCAAATCTTAGCTGCCACTAGGACTCCATTAGCAAAGTGGCAAAACCAATCAAGGCCACGTACACGGAGACATACTCAGTCCCCAGCCCGACCACTGGAACTTGTTCTTAGAAAAACGAGAGCTGTCTCTGCTCAGCTGCAAGGAGGAATCGCCTTTCTGGAATTCATTAGCTACAGAGCAATCTTCCCAGGCTCTGTTGAGAAGATTGAAAGTGAGACCATTGTCACCAAGTGCTCTCAACCAAGTGTCCCCCACCAGCCACATCTCAAGGCCACCGAGACCTCAAGCTCCTTACATGGGGGACTTTGCAGGAAGGCAGCCACAGCAGCAGCCACAGCAATAACAGCAACAACAACACGATAGCTTTGGATTCGTCACAGTGGCAGGGCCTGGACACCACTCCTGATCTTGATGGATACAAAATGTCCTCTCAGTGCAATGAGGGCTGATGGAGGAGCCCCTGTCCCAGGGCAGCGACACGTCCCAGTGTTCCACTTTTGATGGAAGTCTCTGAATGTTTCCTTATCCAGTCTCTGTACTTCTGATTCACTAGCTGAGCACTCAGAGTCACAAGCCTGCTTCAACCTGGCCAATCTGGCCTCAAATGGTTGACCTCAGTTAGGATCAAAGTTTATGAGGGGCTCACAGCCGTCTTGGAATATCTTGTTCTGATTGTAGGTGCTAAGGGAGCAAGGCTTGATGTGGGATGACTCCACCTAACACTTACCTTGAAGCCAAATATCGGGTGGAGAAACCCAGGTTTTCAAGCTATTCTAAAATGAATTTACCTTGCAGCGAGGTGTGTATGTCACCTGTCTCTGTGTGGGTATATACTAAAAAAAAAGCAAACCAGAAAGAGACACCCCATTTTTATATCCTTCCTCTATGAAGTATAAGAAAACACCAGTTTTCTTTACATTTCAGTATTATTTATCCTGCAATAATTTATTTTACATATGGCCAGTGATCCTAATGACTTGAGTCCCATCCCCAGGACCCACATGGTCGACTCCGTCTGACCTCTATGTTTGGTGGTACACATCGGTACATGAGTACAGATGCATGTGCACACACACACAAATAAATGTAAAAAAGTACATAACTTTGTGAATATATATAAGTGAGACATATATGTTTACATCTCATAATAAGTATGATTATAACTTAAAAATCAGTTGGACTGCATTTATTTTTATTTTTTTCTGCATTAGTGTTTTATCTGCATATATGTTTGTGTGAGGGTGTCAGATCTTTGAGTTAGTTACACATAGTTGTTAGCTGTTAAGTTGGTGCTGGGAATTGAACCCAGGCCCTCTAGAAGAGCAGCCAGTGCTTTTAACCTCTGAGTCATCTCTCCACCCCATGGGCTTTAAAAGTTATCAGTTCTTACACATAAAAGAAAACATTTCTTTTAAACAGGATGTTCAGTGCAGACTTAGAATGACTTCCCTGGTGACGCTGGTCACGTCACTAGAAACAAATGATCTGAAGAGGAGCTAAGTTCTTCACGTGGTGAAGCCATAGCCTTTACTGATTTTTATCCATTTCCCAGGCTTTATCTTCAATAATTAGAGAAATACGAACTTCATGCTATTTTGAACAACTTGCTGCAGGAGATTACCAAGTTTATGTTCCTGGTCCAAACCTGTGCAGGCATTATAAACAAAGAACAGTCTACAGAGCAAATGGTGAATGATAGAAACACATAAACTGTACACACACACACACACACACACACACACACACACACACACACACAGTGCACATGGACAGAACTGGGAAGGCAGCAACACAAACAGCTAAAATCAGAGCTGTAGCTCTCAGAGGGAGTCACAGCATTCAATATTCAGACTTGTACCAGTCCTGTTAAAAACAAGCCCGTCACCTGGCGTTGGTGGCGCACGCCTTTAATCCCAGCACTCGGGAGGCAGAGGCAAGCAGATCTCTGTGAGTTTGAGGCCAGCCTGGTCTACAAAGCGAGTTCCAGGACAGCCTCCAAAACAATACAGAGAAACCCTGTCTCAAACAAACAAACAAACAAACAAAAAAACCCAACCCTCTAGAACGGTGAAAAGAGAATGATGGGCATGAGCTAATCTATGATGCAAACGAAAGCAGAAGTGGTAATATTGCTAAATAGCAAAAATATGTGCTTTTCACGGGTGTATTGTTTGTGCGTGATATATGTGCATACATAGAATATATGCACAGGAAGGGGATTGCAAAAGTTTTTGTTTGTTTGTTTTGAGACAGGCTCTCATGTATACCTGGCTGCCCTGGAACTTGCCATGTAGACCTGGCTGACTTTGAATTCTCAGAGATCAGCCTGCCTCTGACTTCTGATAGCTGGTATTAAAGGAGTGTGCCACCACATCCAACAAAAGTATGTATTCTTTAATTTACTTATTCTTATGTGCATTTGTGTTTTACCTGCATACACGTCTGTGTGAGGGTGCCAGATCCTCTGTAACTGAAGTTACAGATAGTTGTGAGCTGCCGTGTGGGTGCTGGGAATTGAACCTGGGTCCTCTGGAAGAGCAGCCAGTGCTCTTAACCCTGAGCCATCTCTCTAGTCGTATCTTATTTTTTTTCTTTTATCAATATTTTTTGAAGCCAGTTGCAATGGTGTACACTTTTAATCCCGGCACTCTAGGGGCAGAGGCAGGTGGATCTCTGTGTTACAGGTCAGTGAGATCTACAGAGAGAGAGAGAGAGAGAGAGAGAGACAGAGAGAGAGAGAGACAAAGACAGAGACAGAGAGACAGAGAGAGAGAGAGAGAAGAGAGAGAGAGAGAGAGAGAGAGAGAGAGAGAGCCAGGGCAGTCAGGGCTACACAGAGAAACCTTGTGTTGAAAAACTAAATAATAATAATAATAATTTGATATTATAATATAATGACATTGTTTCCTCTTCCCTTTCCTCCTTCGACCATCCATTGCTCTCTTTCAAATTGTTGACCTTTTATTTTTTCATTGTTTGTGTGTGAGTGTGTGTGTATGTGTTCCTAAACATATAAATATAACCCATTTAATATGTATGTCACTTGTATGGATGTTTTCAAGGCTGACCATTTGGTATTGGTGAACAATTGGTGTGTTCTTCACTGGAGAAGACTATTTCTTCTGCTGTCAATATTCTTTAGTTGTGTGTAGTTCTTTGTGTAGGGTTGAGGTCTCCTGAACTTTCCCCCATCCATGTTAGCTTGTCTAGGCAGCCATGTGGGTAAGACTTTATGGGTGTAGTTTCTGACGTTTCTAGAAGCCACCATCTACAAACTCCGTGCTCCTCTGACTCTTACAATCTTCCACCCCCTCTTCCACAATGATCCCCAGCCTTAGGTGCAGGAATTGTGTAATAGATGTATCAACTCTGCATTTTGATTGGTTGTGGTTTGAAAGGAAATGGGGAAAATGGGGGTAGATCTCATTAGGGAGGGGAAGGGAGATAAAAGACAGAAGGAGGGTAAAATAACAGTAAGGATGTCTAAAAAGCTAAAAGGAACCATACTATTAACTTTCTACCTAAAAGTGCCTCTAATACATGTAAGTCAAGGTATTGATATACATATAAAGCTTAAATGAAAAATTTCCCATATAGACTCTCAGTGTTCCCCCCATTTAACAAAAACCCTCATGTTGGACATGAAAAGCCCTCTTTTGAGTTGTTGGCCAGGGTTGTCCAAGAGACTTCCAAACATTTCAAGCTGTTGCTATTGCCCTTGATTGCCCCTTATAGGTTGAGAGTTAAGTCCTTATTGTGGAAGACAGTGTGCACTTCAGACAGAGCCCAGAGGTCCCTGAGCTGGAACTGGCCTGAAAGTCCCCCCCCCCCCAGGACTGGCTTTCATGGCACCAGAAGGCCCATGAAAGCATCCAAAGGAAGGAAGCAACCAACAGTCCTACCCAGCTATGATACCTATGAACGACGACAATGATGAGTATGACACAGTAACCCTGCTGGTGCAGTAGAGACACACGTACCTTAGTGATCACCAACAGCTCTCTATTTGAACTTAAGACCCACTCAGCAAGAGGGAAATCATGCCTGGCACTGGAACCCTAGTCAGTACCCACGGCTAGTGATAGTCATGGATCTTGGAATCGTGGATCTACTTTACTAAACCAGCATAATCCCTAACTGCATTCGAAATATTTGTCCTTTTACCCATGGATCACTGTTGTCCCCAGACCTCATCCAGGAAACTTCTCTTTGCAAGAGACGAACCATTTATAGAAGGCGTGCATTTCTGTAGAGGCAGTAGAAGAACAGCGACGTCTTCCGCTTATTTTCTAGGATCTCCATGTAGTTTTCCTGGTTTCGCTTCAGAGTTGTCTCTCTCAGCTGAGATTTTGCTCTCCACACTTTCAACTGCCTGATTTCAACTTGGTCTAAAAATAGTAGATAGAATTTAGAAATAAGCACATTTTAAGTTTAAAATTGTGTCGCCTTCACTCGCCTGCCACATTCTGACCGCCTGGAGACCTGAGTCATCTCTATGACTATATGCACAACATTTCTGTTAGCCGCTTGGCTATCTCAGTCCTTGGGTTACTGTTTCAGTACTTCAGGGCTTGTGCAAAGCCAGCTTCTTAAGCTGGGGGCCGCGATCTCCCGTAGAATCGTGTAACTGAATATGGGGAGTCATGAAAAATTCCGTAATGATAAAATATTTCTGAACATGTAGTGAGCAAAAGTTGAAACCAAATGTACAAGGAACTC